AGCGTGGGTGCCTGCGCGGGACCCGCTCCCTTCCTGCGCCCAGGGCTAGGACGCGGTTTCCGAGCCTTTTCCCCTGGAAGAGGGAGATGGGGGCGGTGTCCTCAGCCCAGAGCTGCACTGACGCAGAGGGGAGGATGTGGCACCCTTTGTCTCCCTGGCTGGGAGAGAGCAGAGCAGCCCCGCACAAAGCTCAGACGAAGTTTGTCTCTGCACCACTCCTAACAGCTCAGGGCAGCCTCGAAGGGCTTTAGGCTCTTATGCCCCTTTGTTTTTTACCCCCTGAAAGGGGGAGGCCTAGGTGTCACCGAAAGCCAGCGAGAGGCCGACTCCTCAACCACTTGGGGCGCCACTGGAAAGCCAGGCCCCAAAGTCACTGATGAAATAGGCCTTAGGTTCTTCAGTCCTTTGGAGGGCCTTGCAAGAAATGAAAACTACCTCCAGTCTGGAAAAGTGTGGTGGAGATTTTAGAACCGAAGCAAGCCAAGGCTGCTGGCCCATGAGCAGTTACATTCACATTGAATGTGAGGCAGAGGTTTTCAGTGGCACGGCTAAGCTGGCACAGACCAGGGACCCTCTATCGTAGGCATTTCCACTACCTAATTTGCATTTTGTTAAGCTTACCAGGTTGTCATATCGTTATTGAAAGGACGCTGGCTTTTGGCCCAGGGAACTGAATGTATGGATCCAGGGGCCCATCCCCCTAAGCTGTCCATGTCAGCCGGACCTTTTCAGCAGTTCAGCAGAAACGTTTGAAAATCCAGTGTTGGAGCCCGGGGCTTGCATGCCAGTAGCTCCGCTGTAGCATCTCCAAAGAGGGAAACTTGTCTGATTTCACTGCCTGGAAACAACCAGCAACTCCCTGATTTCAGCATAACTGCAAAAGATGTTTCTTCTTTCCCTAGTTGGCAGTAGGGCTTGGGTTGTTTGTTCTTTCTGCGACTAACCAAGCTGCTGAGTTCAGTGAGATAAATCACACAATGAGAGTTTGGTATTGTACATAAGCGTGTGTAGAAGCCAGGCCAAAATCAATCCGTGGTTTTAGCTTTCTGTTCATCGCCATACCCGCTTCTGCCCAGAACAGCTTCCTTTTTTATAGCACCAAATTCCCATAGAGTTAAATGGGTACAGAATCAGTCCTACAGGCAATGTTTAGCTGGGGAAACAGGCACCAAGAGGTCTGAAATGGGCACATGAGAATTTATTTATGCATAGAGAGGGATATTTAAAAACAAACAAACAATGAAATAACAGAAATTCGCTTTTTTCCCACAGGTCGAAGTTTATAATTTTGGCAATTTCTCAGCTTCTTGTGTTTAATGGAAACTTACATTCTTGGAAATTTGAGCTTTTTCCAAGTGTCACGGTTTGTAGTAGCAAGAATAAACAGTGCATTAGCTTCATAAAAAGACCTAAATTTAGATTTTAATGAAGCAAAGTACACGAGGCTTCATCATCTCTCATTAACTCCTTCAGGCTCCCGATGTTTGCAGGACTGTGTGTGTGTGTATGTATGATGGGCAGAGAATTTTGCTTTGTGTAATATTTGTATAACAGAAAACAACCCTCAGTTCGGACCTCTAAACCACTTGGGAACAAGAGGAGGGTCAGGGAATGGGCCTGCCTTGTGCCCAGGCTTACAATGCACATCTAAGTTTTCCTGATAGCGATACTGGCAGTACTGCAGGCCATGTGGTGGTAACAGAGATCAGTTGGAGTTGAAAATAGCAGAATGCTTTTCCACTGGCTCTCCTAACTGAAGTTCTTAAGTGGACTGGTTTTCAGTCAGAATGGACTTTTATATGTACACACTTTGCTCATCCTGATTTTTCACTGAGGTAACATGGGGGAGCTCGTAGCTATAGAAGTCTTGAGACGCACACGTTCTGGCCTTAGTGGACTATGTTGCAAGGGAAAAAGCTTGTTGTTTTTTTACCCATTTTCCACCAGAAGAGGCGATATGCATATCTTGTTATCTAACCATTCACCTATTTTGATCTTTTAAGGATTCATCTTTCCTGTCACACTTGAGACGAGCACTTTGGGGGAAGAGGTATCTCCAAAAAGTTACCTGGGTAAGCCTCTTATGGGTGCCAGTTCTGTAGTACCTCAGTTCTGTAGATCTTATTAACAATATTTCTGTAGATCTTATTAACTCCCTCTTGAGCATGTCTACATGTGCATTAAGTTAATGCACCATAATCAGTGCTACCTCACAATAGTGCTGACATGTCTTTTAGGTGATGCTAATGTGCAGTAGACTAACTGTACTGCACATTAGTGCATCAGCACAGCTTTTGCCGTGACACACTAATGTGCAGTAGAGTTAGTCTTGTGTCTTGTGTCTCCCCGTGAAAACTAAATGAACGTCAACCATACTTTTGGGCATGCCACACGCTTTCCAATGTGATACTTTATGACTACTCCATAGAGAACAGTTTAAAAAATTTTTGCTCTTTGCCCTTCTACATATTTGCTTAGTTGTCACACATACTTCAGAGTGGAATTTAGGTAATATCTGGGAAAATCTCACAGAAATGTCTCCAAGACCTTTTTGTAAACAGGGTAGCTCCTTAGCATCATAAATGCAACCTTCCAAGGGAAAACAAATAGCAGACACACACTTTTTTAACTGACATACAGATTTTAGACAGATATTTGTACTTTACTTAGAAAAGATTCAAAACCAAAATCCTGGATGAGAACATTGCTGATTTTTTGGAGTGCTTGTAATCAGGGTTAGGATCCAGTTCTTTCATCCTACTTGTTTCTTTACTAAAAATGCTATGCACTTTTTGCTGATTTAGTGATAAATATGCCAGTTGAAATACCCGTGATCTTGGCAGACTTTACCATTTTGCTGTCTGAAAGCTAATTCAAACACTTCATGTTAGATGCCATCTAGGGATCAGATTTTGGCATGTTTCATAGCAGTTTATGGTAGGATAAACTCTATGGAAACAGAGCAATTACAATCAACAATAACAAACATATTGTGGAACAGAGATTCTGCCTCATGCTTCAGGGATCAGGCCAGTCTTCAACTGGAGACCCAGATGATAGCTACTGTGGGGCAGGGGCAAGGGCAAGGGCTACATTTTGTGTACCATGGGGTTCTTATACCTGTCTGAAGCATTGGGCACTGGCCATTCTTAGAAACAAGATGCTGGAACAACTTGAGTTTGTGTCCAGCCAAGTATTAGAAGTCCTAATCCTACTGAGGTACTGAGCAATCTAGAATTTCAGGGCTTTGTTACACATTCCAGTTTAAGCTTCTCAAATGTTGACTGGCATTAGTGGTCACTCAAGTTTAGAGTAGTTGAACGTTCAGGCTAAAAATCTGACTGTCCACAACCTGTGACATGCCCCTAGAGAGTTGGCAAGCCAGAGCAGGCTTCTATCCCTGCTCTAGGTGGGGCTGGGTTGGAGAGAGGGGTTAGTGAGGGCATGAGGCTGAAAGGGGGAGAGTTTAATGATGGGGACTGGGTAGTGAAATGGGAGATGGAAAAGCAGTGAGTGGGAATGGTGGCTGGGGTGGTGAAATTAAGAAAGTCAGTCACTGAAGCCATTAAAAGATAAAAAATTAAAAAAAATTAAAAAGAAATAAAAAGTAAATTAAGAAAATCATGTTTTAATAAATTGTGATTGGGCAGCCCCAACTCCTGGGGATACTGCCACTGTCCTGGGAGGGAAGCCACAAATCACAGGACCCTGATCAGCCCTCTCTCCTCCCCCCTGCCCCTTACTCCTCCTTCCACCCCTCCTAGCCCTTCATCTTGGACTGGTCTGTGCCCCTGAGAGCTGCCTAGTCAGGTCACACCCACCCCAGGGATGGGAGGGGGAATTGGCTTGGTGCCAGTACCACCTGCTAGGCAGTAGAGGTCTGGGGGTAGAAGGTTTGTCCACACAGAACAGAAGGATGGGGACTGCAACCTGGGATCCTGGAAGACTGTAACTTTTGTAGCTTATCTCTAGGGAGTGGCCACACAGTCATGGAACACCAGCTGGGTAACAGGGATCAGAGATAAACCTACCCTGAAGTGATAGCACTTTAAGATGCCTAAAGGGTGCTTAGAAGTAGTTTACATGTCTCAATGCATGGACAATCCAGGGATTGAGAGTACCCTGAGCCGCCCAAAATTGGATACATCTACCATCTACATCTAACATAGGCTGCCAAGAAAAGCCTGTAAACGGTCTGTAGT